CTTAAGCGGAACAGAATCTGAATAACCTATTGCGGGTAAATGAGGCCGTACCCTCCCCTCTCCCCCTCACCAGCATTACTTCTGCCCGTATTAACCTCCAAAGACAGACAAAAAAACTCGGCTGTAATAAAGTCCTCAATTTGCCACTTTAGATCTTGTCAATTGTATGAGAGAGAAAGGTGCTGTGAAAGGTTTAAGAAAGTGCCAACCGGAATTGGGTGTCTTCAATCATTGTAAATTTCTCAAGTGAGTTCAGGATTTCCAGAGTTCTCGCTCATTTTCTTCTCATTAGTCCTCCCTGAGATGGATCAGTTCAGGTTCAACGACACCGAATTTCGGGAGCGAATGACAGAGGAATATTTACAAGAGCGTTCAGAAGCTCGTCGAACAGGAAAAACTGCACGAGAACGAATGCTCGAAGAATACCGTGAATGGAAGAAAGAGCACGAGACTAGTTGACGAGCTTATGGTTAGCTCAGTAGGCCTTAGGTGTTTGTTTTGTTTTTGTTCGTGAATTTCAAATGTATAAAATATGACTTACCAATGAATATTTAGAGCCTTGCTGTCAGTATCGGTTCTTACGTAGTCATCTGCCTTATGTACTAGTCGCATTCGCAGTGCCAGGACAAGTTCCTTAGTTCTGAACAGTCGGACACAGAAAGCAGCTGTAAGGTAATCAACTGCTCCTTAACCGTAATGGCTACAGTCAAGTTGGCTGCTGGTGAAGGGGCATGTCAGGCAGGACAGATGGCACGGTGCCAAACCTGTTCTTCACCATTTGCTAAAGCGGGTAAGCTACAACAATTGGTGGAAAACGACTGATAAGAAAGGTATGATACACTCTTGTCGTTTGCTCGCTTCAACGGTTGGTGGAAAACGGGTTTGGAGCTGCGCCAGACCCATTCCGTCTGACACACCCCTTCATCCGCAGCGGAAGCCTGTATAGCCAGCGCGTTGAATACGCAAAACCCTCAGGTGACACAGTACAGCGCATTCTCACTTCTCATGTCGTTTTATTTTCGGAGGTGTTGGCAAGGAGTTCGATTTGCGGCGACCGCAAACAGAGTACAGCATCGTGGTGTGTGATTTGGTAGTGTAGGTACGACCTCCCCCCACTTTCCGAGAGAGGGTGTCAGTACGACCCCACCTGAATGAGGGTCTCGGTACGACCCCTCCCCTTTTTTTTTCCAACACCTACCTACCAATTTCCCACATTTTCCAGACCAGTTCTTCACCCACAAATTTTCCGTTGAGCGAGGGGGGGAGGGGTTTACATAGTACACATGAATGGCAAACTAACGCGAAAAGTCAACAACCGGCGAAAATTTTCTTCCAACGCAAGCCAAAATTTCTCATATACGACCCCCTCCCCAGCGGAAAAGTACGAGACCCTCCCACGCATGTGTTTCACGCAACGATGCTGTACACTGACCACAGAAGTAGCGCGGCGCATGCATGCAGCCTGAGTAGTTCGCTGTAATAGGCAGGTACTTCCGCGTCAGGCCTTCGAAGTCTTGGTTTGAATGCCGCTTGCAACGCCTCATACAACGCCTCGCTGCAATTCGGACTCCCTGACTTGCATTCTATTTTTGAAAGTTGTGGGAATTTTAAAGATTTGGCTCAACTTTTTTTGTTTTCTCTGGGGGCGGTTTCTAGGACACAGTTTGCAGAGAAGATCTGACACCGCACTAGGTACTGCCGCATCATGTGTTTCAGGGATTGGATCTGTTTCAATAGAGTGGCTCAGCGTTTAATTCAGTCCGCCCTTCGGTAGATAGGTAGGAACACATTGAGACTTTGCGACCCTAACACTCAACGATGGGAACGCTCACGCGATTCACCAGCACGATCGCGAAGTCTGATTGTGCTCTAATCAAATTGATGAATACTTCAGTAAACAAGCAAGATAATATTAGTGATGGTACCGCCACGTTCATACTTCGCGACTTCGGCGATGCAGTCGCGCGGGTGGATCGATCGCGCTCCATGGCTAATCGCTGGACTTCTGCAGTGGTCGGGAAAAGTTGCAACCCGGGTGAGACTGAACTGGCACTTCCATCTGTCGGACGAAGTAGCGGTCGAGGGCGGTCGTATTACGCGGTTCCCAAATTTCCAACTGATCGGTAGAGTCGCGAAGTATGGATGCGGCGTGAGCTGATTGGAGTGATTGAGCTCCTTCGAAAGACAGACTCGATTTGGTGTATATCTGGCCTGTACGATGAGCCCAGTTCAATTTAAATATGACTATTCGATCACTCTCCTTCCAGACAAGTGCGATGACAAATAGCTTTCACTGTGGGGCTGGGAATTGCTGCAGAATATGTTTCGAGTAGGGCGAGGCGCGTCTTTGCTCGCTTTGTTGTCACAGGCCTATCGCGGTGGAACTAAAGGTTTTGATGAGCGTGGGGGAAAACTGTCGGGAGTTGCTGCAAAATGAGAATCTTTCTGTTTTTCCGCTAGACTAGCGGTCTGTGTCTGACTTGGGTTTCTTTTGAGGGTTCATTCTCGCTGAAGAAAGCCTCTCTTGCACAATCGTCATTCGTTTAGAATTTTGCTTGGAGTTGGTTCGAATAGACTAACCCTGAGAGACTTTGAGATGCAGGATGTGCGGAAGTTTCGAATTACCAGTACATTTTGCCTGGAATTGGATGAAATTCCTGAGGAACCCTCAATGTTGCGAACAGAGTTTCTTTTGAAATTTGATTTACTGAAAAAAGTAAAAGAAATGGAAGTTGAGCGAATGCTGCACGGCGCCTCGTCAACCCCATTTGTCTCTGCAAAGCTGAAAGGCTTTTCCAAATTGATTATGTGGAAGCCTCTCTGAGACCCTCCTTCCTTGCAAGGCGCTCGTTATTTCTCAGAACGATCGGAAGTGAAAATTTTACTGGCAGGAGTAGATGAATAGACACAATCTGTTCTTAAAAAAGTTTGCAGTATACAAACCCCGTCGAAATTTCTTCCTCTGCTACGACCACTCCGCCATCCTACCTACATTCTCCCTGAACTCTCTCCTTTCCTCTCCGTTTTTTTTCTCTGAAATCTCCTTAATTAACTTACTTCATTTTTTCCCTTCCAGAAAACTGCCGGCAATGAAACGGATGGGGGGGGGGGAAAGGGGGAGGAAATATAGCGCAAATAAAACGATAAAAAATAAGAAAACGTAGCTACCGAAAATATTTTCTCAAAGACATTACAACCCCTCCTCCCTCAGTGGGATCCCTAATGAATGACGTGCCTTGAATGAGGCAATAATTATCAAAGGGATATGTTATTACCGCGTAGGCGGTGCCGTGATGCTTCTTAATCGCTGTGCCCGACTTATGCACGCGGGTGCGATGACGAGGAATGACTGGACTATTCATGGGCTATTCACCTCAGTTTTCTTTTCATTATACAGGAAAAGGATAAAGGATGGAGCGCTCAGCGGTCAAAGATGTTCTCTTTGAGTTTCCCCTCCCGCTTGGCTTCCATGAGTCATTAACTCGGCTTCCTTTGGCTCAGAATTGTGATTACATTCAAATGCATATTTCGTAATCCAACGATCACAGTGAGTTCCAAGGACCAACCTATGTGTGTGAGCGTTTTTGTTTTCTCAGACAAGTACAGTTGGACATTCCACGCTGGTCATGTGGGTGGGAACAGCCAGTCATCGTGGACCCATTGCCATACCTCTCTGTATGGTTTGAGAAGTGGAGATGCACCACTAAACGACGGTAGACTGTTTCCACCCGTAGAATCATTGTGGATTCTGCCTTACGAACGCGTAGAAGGCTCCATGATTGTGCATAGCATCTAATCACTGGTATGTGTATACCCGTCTAGAAGCACCACTTGCACTGCCCCTCCTCGGCGCTATATTCCAGTGTGATCTCCGAGTGTGAAAACGAAGACCTCCTTGGCTTTCCCTTTGATGCATTTTATCCGCTCTGGAACGTTAAAGCTCATCAATCTAATGCACTCAGTCCAAAGAGCGTTCCGCGACGTTGATTTGCCTAGAAGACGGCGATTTTATGGAGCGTTCGAGCCGGCAAATTAGGCCCGTTTCAGCTGAGATGGCTCGTTATAGCTGCAGTGGCTAGGTGCAGCCTGCTAAGTGCTAACGTACTCTCGCAATATGCTATCGACTGAGGCTTTCACTTTCTTCACTTCTTCCTGAAGACAGTTTCTTTCTGAGTTAATCGCAGATTCGTTCGCCTTGTGCTTTTTTCCGTCTTGGGGGAGAAGATTCAAGTCTATTTTCATAAATTCAATTTTGGAGTAGTTATCACTACTGAGGTATGATCAGCTTCAATAGAATCATTTAGGTTTCGTTGTCAGAATTTGTTTTTGAAAATATTGTTGAAAACAGTGAAACTTTGGCATCGTTCCTGGAGCTCTGGCTTCATCTGGCGCTGCAGGATGCGACTTGCGCTCCCCTCCCCTTAAAGATCCGGAGAAGGTATTTTTGATGATGTATTCGGTCCAAGGGCGGAGGTGGTATTGTGACAGGTGGCGCGCTTGCCACTCGCGCAGTCCTGGGCTCAAATACAAAGTAGCTAACCAACTAAATACTTTTACCCCAGGTCGACTTCCCCCCCCCTCCCAGGCCAACCAAAAGTCCAAGCCTTCTACCTCCGGGGACGGTAAATTGGTACCAGATTCGTCTGGGAGGATAAAACACTGACTTGTACATCGGCTGGCCCCGCAAGTCATTGTATAGGCCACATCGCATTAAGCCACTACGATTCTGAATGGAAGTAGAATACATGTCGTATCCCACTCAGGGATTGATTGAGGGCGAAGATTTTATCCTTATCCTCTATTTGAAGTAAGTCATGAGTTGCAAACAGGGCACGCCATCGTTATGATGATCCTTATGATGATCACAACGGCGGGTCGTATTTGACCGCGAGGGAGGGGGGTAGTATTTGGTCAGAGAAAATTTTTTTCGATAATTAATTTCTCTTGTTTCACGGTTGATTCTCTTGCTATAAAAAGGGGGGGGGTCGCATTTTTCCGTTGTTGGGTGAGGGACTGCCAGAGACCTATACAACTACTATTTCCGACAGTTGAAAACGATAGTTGAATCCTGACGACCCCCCCCCTGCCCCGCACGACAGCAAAATTTTTGGGAAAAAACCAGGAAAAACCAGAAATTTTTCGGGGACTTTCGGAAAAACTGTGGAGTTTAGCGGTAAATATCCGAGAACTTCACCTCCTCCCCTCTTAGCTGAAAAACTGGGAATTTTTCGGGAAAAAATGGAAAAAGTGGTAGGAAGTTGGGAAAATCTAGGAAAGTGGTAGGTAGCATGGGGAGGGAGGGTCGTATTTGAGGATGGAATTAGGGGGGGGTCGTATTTTTCAGGAAATGATCACAAGCGAATGGCACCTGGTTGCAGAAGCCAAGCTGTTTTTGAGAGAGTAACTCCACTTTTTGTCATGAGTAATTCGCTAAGCATTGATCGATTCCTATTTTAATG